GATACAGAACCCATTCGCCCAGCTAGTGAACGCGGAGCTTCTGCCCTGTGCCAGCCCCAAGCTGCCACATAAACAGGCTTCAGCCACTTGTCTTTGACCCCAGAGCCAGACCACAGAGGACCTGGATGAATCATTCCCCAAGCAGATGTAATACAAGGACCGCAAGTGGCTTTAGAGTTAGTGTATACCCTCCGGGGCACAGCCTCACACTGAGTCAAAGCCAGGTGTGAACCACACCAGCCCCAGGCTCAGAACCCACCAGTGACATCCAGGGACCTGCAGAGTTAAGCCCAGGCTCTTTAGCCAGTTCCTAGACCCCAGATCCTGCCACTCTTGCTGATTGCCTCTTGAGTCACCTCCCACCCTCCCCTGCTCCCCCTCTCCTTCCCACCTGGCCCTTCGCTGGTCTCAGGACCCCCTCATACCCTTGCTGTTTTGTCTGCCTGGTCAGGCATTTCTTAAGCATCCACTGTGTCCTAGCGGGCAGGAGTGCACTGAGAAGGAGATGTGCCCCTGGCCTGGAGCAATGAGTCTAGGAGAGAATTTAAATGAGGTGGGCTGGGCACTGGGAAGGTGGCTCTAAGGACTGGAGATCCTGACCTTGAACCGTGCCTGAGCAGCTGGAGTGTGTGGGAGCTGAGACAGATCCCTTCTGTCCACCTTCCTCAGGTGTGGGACATCCCCTCTGAGTAACAGACTCACAGAAAGGTCCAGGAAATGATCCTACACTGCTCATGCTAGGAACTGCATTTCACTATAGAAGCAACCTGAGAGTTACTCTGGGCAGGAGCCTGGGGTGGCAGCCTCTAGGGTACACTTTATAGTGCAGACAGTGACGACATTAAATACTCGAGGCCAGCAAAGTGGAGGGGTGATTGGATGTCCTACCTCACTCTTGGCTGGAAAGTGTACATCCTTTCTGTCTCAAGAACCACCCTCAGTCTAGGGAGCCTTCCTGTCCTTCCTCCACCCCAGCCCTGCCCTTACAAGGATAGCTACTCCCTTATCCATCTGTTGCCTCCATAGTAGTGAGCATAAACTTCAACTCTAGGCGTTATACCTGCTCTGAAGGTGTAAGTGTGTATAAGAGTGACTTCACTGTGTGAAGTCAGCCTTCCTCTCCTCACAAGTCCTATAACGACAGGGCCCTTATACGTGGTTCTTCCTCTGCCTTTCAGAAACTTATGAAAGTCCTGCCTAGGGGAAGACTAGTCCTTGTTCTCCTACTTATTTCCTGCACGCAAGCCTCACAGGGGTCCCCGACCTGCCTGGACCTCCAGTCCATCTACAGAGCAATCTTTACCACTTCTCAGGGCTGGAGTAGATGATGTCTGGAACGAGGGATTGCAGAATCAGGGGAGAAACCCAGAGTTCCACCCACGCACGTCCTGAGCTTTTTCACTTTTCCATTGCTCCCAGCAGTCCCTCAAGGCAGTACTCTTGCTGGGCCTATTTTGCAAGTGTGGAAGCTAAGACTCAAGAGAATTTTACACTGATTTCGCCCCAATGTTATGTAGCCAGTAGCAGCAAGGCCAGGGACCAAAGCAGGGAGCCCTGGCTCTCAGCATTCCATTTTATTTTTTTTTTTTTTTCCGAGTCAGGGTTTCTCTGTGGTTTTGGAGCCTGTCCTGGAACTAGCTCTTGTAGACCAGGCTGGTCTCGAACTCACAGAGATCCGCCTGCCTCTGCCTCCCGAGTGCTGGGATTAAAGGCGTGCGCCACCACCGCCCGGCTCAGCATTCCATTTTAGCTACTGTGATATGTTGCCTCATCCACAGACAGAACTTCAACCCTCCCTGTTCCTGCCTGGCCTCTTCTTGCTGTATGCCACAGTACTTCCTTATGGGCTGAAGGTTCCTGGGAGAAAGGACATTACAGAGCCCTCCAAGTTTGGGAGGTCCAGATGCTAAATCTCTGTCCCCTGCCAAAGGCTCTTACTCTGTTGTGCTGTCTGCCTTGAGCATTTGACAACATCTAGGTGGATCATCCCAGAGGACTCTAGGCAAGGAGAGAGGCTGGGAGCCGGGTTTCCATCTGGCTTGGACTTAACACCTGTCCAGATGTTCCCAATGCATCTGCCCCGCAGAGGAGCTCCATCACACTGTCCTTCTGTCTGTTCTGGAGCCTTGCCTGGGGGTCAGGATGTGATGCCCACCCCCTCTCTGGGACCAGCAGAGGACATGTGACTTGGGCGGGGGGAGAGAAAGGATCAAGAAGACCAGAGAACCTGGATAGAAAGAGTTTTTCACAGTGTAGCTAGATGGGGTAGGCGATGTTCCTGCCTCGTGCTTTATTTGCGTCAGGCTGTTTGTTAGGCACACACAGTGAGAGCAGAACTGCCATGTTCCTGGGCATTCAACCAAGGATTTAGTGATAGTGGCCAAATGAATATGATGGGAAATGACCCCGGCTCTAGTCCTGTCTGCCGCTCTACTGGCTCTATGGGCCTAGGCCTCAGTTCATTCATTCTTCCCTCCCTCCTTTCTTCCCTGATTCCGCTTTCCCTTCATTTTCTTTTGAAACAAAATCTCTCTATGTAGCCCAGGTTGCCTTCAAACTGGCAATCCTCCTGCCTCCACCTCCCAAGTACTAGGAATACACTACACCTGTTCTGCCTATTTCTTTAGTTTAACATCAGGGAAATTAGACTAGTTGATTCAGGAAGCAATTGTGTTTTCTGGGGAAAAAGCTCGACTTTGGGACAGCATGGGCAGTTTTGGAACAGCCTGGACCACCTGGGTTAAAATCCCAGGGGCATTGCCCCTAAATCCATGACCTTGAGCGGGTTACCCAATCCAGGCTCCATCACAGTTGAGCCCTGCCGCCTGTCGATGCGACTTCAGATAAGATGTTGCAATCCGTTTGACACACAGTAACAGCAGTTTCTCTTTCCCAGTTATCAACATCAGTGAAACTTCGCCCTCCACAGTTAACAGAGGACTTCCTCTACCTCGGCCAGAAGCCCTCCCTTCTGCACCCAGGCAGCTTCCCATGTTGGTAGCATCTGGTGCTTGTCGTTGCTGTTGGTTTCTAATTCTGAAACAGGGAAGGAACTCAAGCAGGTTTCGTGTGTGTGTGTGTGTGTGTGTGTGTGTGTGTGTGTGTGGTGTCTCAAGCAGTGTGCATACAGCAGCTATGTATTCACGAATGCACAGGTACGCACGTGTGCACCTACATGTGAACATGTATGCATATACATGTGTGTGGATGAAGCCAGTGGTCAACCTCAGGTGTCATTACTCATTTTTTTTTTTTTTCTGAGCTAGTCCCTCATTGGGACCTGAAGTTCATGGATTAGACTAGCTTGGCTAGCCAGAAAGCTCCAGGGATCCTCTGGCCTCTGTCTTCAGTGCTGGTATTACAAGCACATACCAGCAAACCCTCTTTCTCCATAGGTGCTGGTAATTGGACTCAGGTCCTCGTGCTTGTATGACAAGCACTTCATCCACTGAGCCATCTTATCAGCTCCTCAAGCAGAGCTCTTCTGGTCTCAGGTCTGGCTCTAAATGTTCGGTGCCTTCCACTGCTTATGGTGGGCAGGTGGCTGGCTGCTCACTGAGCCCCGCAGCAGCCCTGAAGCCACCCGGTAGTTCATGCATGTGGCATAGAGAAGAAGGCATTATCCAGATAGCCTTCCCACAAGGGGCAGAGCTAAAAATACCAGCAAGGTGGACTTTGGATCCTACATGAGACACCTCCCAGGTACTGCCTGACTCAGACTCTCGGAGAGAGAGAGATCTTGTGTGGATTCCCACCTGACAGGAACTGTGCCCGGGATGGGATCTGCCACCAGCAGATCAGCCCCAGTGTCCCCTCAGCCGACCTGAGTGGATGGAAGATCAGATGGCCCAGGCTGGCAGGATAAGGAGATGCCAGCATGGTGACCCAAGAAGGGATTTCCTGTCTAGAGGAAGTGGGAGTAAAGCCAAGCTGACTCACCTTCCTTCCAAGGCGCTGGATGAGAAGGGGCCTCGTGGAACCTTTCTCCCCAGCGGAGACTCCATTTCTCTCTTTTAGGAAATCGCTCTCCCCATTCCCATCCCCAGCATTTATAATAAAGTCATTACTAAAGTCATTTCTAGTAAAAGTGCAAGAGATTCCTTGCAGAGTTACAGGGTCGGTGAAAGCCACAAGGCTTTAGAAGATGCTTAGCCCAGTGTGGTGGCACACGCCTTTAATCCCAGCACTTGGGAGGCAGAAGCAGATGAATCTCTAAGTTCGAGGCCAGCCTGGTCTACAAAACGAGTTCCAGGACAGCCAGGGCTACATAGAAAACCCTGTCTCAAACCAAACAAAGATGATGGGCACTTGTCCCAGATCATCGGTGACATTTGCTGGTCGCTACAATGATGGCAGTAACCTCTGCTTACAGTGCTCAGGGCTCTTTCCTTCCATATCACAAGCTCCACAGTAACCTGTCAGGTACACAAGCTGTCCCCTGTCACAGTGAGGCCTGGAAAAGCCTGGGGCAGCTAATGGTGGAACCATCTACCCCTCCCTGCCTATATCTAGAATCCCAGGGAACTCTCTTGAGCCTGTTCTACAAACACTTGAACCCTGGCAGTTGTACAGCAAGCCCTCAATGAAGGGGCCTTCCTGGTGGGGCAGCCCAGGTGTAAGTGTTGAGCAATGAAAAGCCTAGGGACGCATCTCCGGGTGTCCAGGAAGAGCCATTGGCATAGGGACCAGGAAGATTCCCAGCCATAGTGGCTGAGGCCAGGATGCCCCTGTGGCAGGAGGGCTCTTCACAGATTGAGACCTCTGCTGACTTCCTTCTCCCCAGGGAGGAGCAGAGTTAGGAATGTAGTAGGTGAGAAAGGCAAGGTGCTTGGGGTTGGGGGTCAGGGTGTGGAGGATGGAGCAGAAGGTTCTAGCTATAACCAGACTACACACGGTGCCTGAGGCTCTGCTCACTCTTCCTGCTCCAGCCTCCCTCATGCATGCAGTGATTCAGAACAGGAAGGAGCTGTTGGCCCATTGGTCATGCCATGAGTACCCCCATGGGGAAAGGGGAAGTGGAGAGGGAAAGAAAAGGTAAGCCTTTCCAGCCTTCGAAGGCTGCCACAGCTGCAGCCAGCTGCTTCTGCCTCCTGATCCCGGATGGAGGTGGAGGGCCAGGGGCTAGGCTGACTGCAGAATACCCAGGGATGTTCTGAGTACCAGAAAGCTCTGGAATGGGTGCTTGTAAAAAACGTAGCCACTCCCCCATGGTGTTCTGCCCGGTGGTCTCAGGAGCCCTGATCCACTCTGATTAAGGACACTGGGGTCTCTACCATGGGGAGATAATCTGTATCAAAAATAGGTGCTGTCTTTTTTTTTAGATGAAGGTCTGTCTGGTCAAAGGGTTCTTTTGAAAACCTCTTCAGTGGTTCACTTGTCAGTTTTCCAGAAAGCTGTGGAATCATTTGAGGTGTGATCTTTGAAGTCACGGGTATAAATGGAAAAGATAAGCCGTTTCCTAGGGCAGGAGAAGGCGTTGTCTTTGGGGAAGGCACTGGGGCAGTGTCCAGGGCTGGTCTGGGGTTCCTCCCTCCAGCTGGTCTCCATCGTTTCTCTCTTCCTCTTCAGGATGTGAAGATCTTCCGAGCCCTGATCTTGGGGGAGCTGGAGAAGGGGCAGAATCAGTTCCAGGCGCTCTGCTTTGTCACCCGGCTGCAGCACAATGAGATTATCCCCAGTGAGGCTATGGCCAAGCTCCGGCAGGTGAGCACCCACCCAGGCTTGTCTGGTCAGGCCCTGACCCAGAGTTCCCACCCTTGAGGTCACCCTGTCCTCATTCAAACTCAGACTCCGACCCTGCTCTTCCTCCCCACACTCTCTCAACACTGCAGTCATTGAGAGTCCCAGTCCCCTGGTTTTGCTCCAGGCCAGACTGACTACAGAGCCCCAGATCTCTAACCTGTATCGAGCCCCAACTCTCAGGTCACCCCAAGCTGCTGGCCCAGGCCCTACCTCTCTTTGGATGGAGATAGAGGCGTGGATTCTGAAGATGTATTGAACATCACCTCTCCCCGTGTCCCTCATTAGCTAGGGATACTGGACAAATGACCTTGTCTGTAGAGCCTTCGTCTCCTTGTTGAGGAGCGGTTAAAATCAGAACTCAACCATGAAAGTGTGTCAGAAAGGCCACTTGCAGCCTTTCAACTCACTGACCACTGGATCCCTCCCTGGAGTTCCAGCTTTCCATAGCCTGTCTTGGCTGCCTTGTGGCGTCTTCCCTTCCAGGGCTTTCCCTTTGCCTGCTCTTCTTGGAAAGATGTAGTCCCTTGGATTCAGCAAGCATATGTCCACACTGACGTACCCCGAAACAGCTTGCCTAGCCTACCTAACCCTAGCCTGTCTCCCAGCTGCACCTTGAACTTACCAGCAAGCTCTAGAAGTTAGTTCTGTATACAGCCCACTTCGTGTAGAAGCCAGAAATGCCTTAACTGCCCCTGAAGCATTGGTTTCTTGGGTTGGGGCTCGGTGCCCCTCCACTGCTTTGGCTCCATGGGCCTGGGATCAAGGAGGGCATGGCAGGCGATATTCTCCTCTTGCATCTACAGAAAAACCCCCGTGCGGTGCGGCAGGCTGAAGAAGTGCGGAGTCTGGAGCAGCTACACATGGACGTCGCTGTGAACTTCAGCCAGGCGGGCCTGCTGAGTCCCCATCTCCGCAATGTATGTGCCGAGGCCGCTGAGGCCATCTACACACGCCAGGATGATGTCCGCTTCTGGACGGAGCAGCGAGGTCAGCTGGGGGCTGCCCTCGGTGGGGAGAGGGAGAAGCAGGTTGGCTGAGCGACTCTTTGTTGTGTTTGGGGGCGAGTTCCTGAGGCCCCTCACGGATGGACCACACAGACAGGCCCAGTGTGGACACCCTGTTGCTGCAGCTGGTGGCGGGTAGATCTGTTTGGCACCAGTTCAGTGTGAGTGTGAAGTCATGAGTGGCAGGCATTCTGGGAGGAGGGCGAAACCCCCCAGGGTAGGCTGGGACAGGGCACGAAGGCTTCTGGAGGAGGTGGTGACTACGTGGCTGGGATGAGGAGACTCACAGGAGACAGCCTGCCAGGTCTGGGAAAGGAGACTTTGCCACATTCTTGTCACTACCCATAGTGAAGACACAGATGTTCCTGCTGTCATGTCTGCTGGCACCTCTCACAGGAAGCATCTCACCGTCCCTGGTGCCGGCATTGCTCCCAGAGCCCTCAGGGTCTCCTCCCAGCTCCGAAGGGCTCCTCTGCCACTCTGCTGGTCCTTCTCCAGGTCCCTTTGCTAGGACTGTCAAGTCCTGTGTGTAGAAAGGACAGGGAGATTCAAGATGCTTGCTCCTGGGCCTTCTGCCCAGCCAGCTGCACAGAGAGAAGCCTGCCCCTCCCAAGGCAGGGCTGAACTTTGTGTCCATTTCCATAATACCAGACCACACCCCAAATGAAGGGGCAGGCCTGACCCTAGCGCTTGTTCCTTCCCATAGTCGCCAAGCAGAGTCCTGGTCGGGTGGGTCCCTGTCACTCCTCATGCATGCTCTTCTTGTATCTGTCCCCATCCCTGCCGTGCCCACTCAGGTGATGTCCTTCAGGTAGTTTTATCTAAAGCATTGGTGGCTGCTTGACCCAGTGTAGTCTGTGAAATCAGACAGGCCTGCTTCAGGTCCTGACCCCCACCCCCCACCCCCTTCATTGTATGACTCCAGCCATGTCAGTGAACTTCTCTGGGCCGACTTTGAATCCCCAGCACATAGTTGAGACTCCGTGGAGGATGGCTATGATTTGGTATAACCCATTAGCCTTGCCTCAGGCCTGGGTCTCAGCCCTGTGTCCGTCCGCAGGGCAGCCTTGAAAGGGGAGACAGGAGAGAAAGCTGTGCTGTTTCTACCTTCTTCCTGCTTGCCTCTTCCCCCAGGTGTGGATGGTTCAATGTTCGAGGCCCTCCCCAAGGAGCAGACGGAGTTGCCCCGCTGTGGGCAAGTGAGGGACCGAGGAAAGCCCTGTGCCTGCCGCTACAGTCTGAGCCTGGCCTGGTACCCTTGCATGCTCAAATATTGCCACAGCCGTGACCGGCCAGCACCATACAAGTGCGGCATCAGAAGCTGCAGGAAGAACTACAGTTTTGACTTCTATGTACCCCAGAGGCAGTTGTGCCTCTGGGATGAGGACCCCTAACTGTGGGGAGCTTGACCCAAGGAGAGCTGCTTGGGTCCACAAGTTCTTCACTGGCCACCAGAGGATGTGGCAACCCTATCTAGGGCCTCAGGTCCCTTCCTGTGCCTCACATGCTGAAGCCACGGCCTCATTTGCCTGACTGTGAAAGGGTGTCGCCCAGCAGGGACAACCTTGGGCAGCCCTGATGCCTACCTGTGCCCATCTGGGGACAGAGAGGGATAAATCATTCTGCAGACTGGTGCCCTTCCCTCTACATGTCCCCTGAAATGTCCCACATACATGCAATCAAAATGCACAGGCCCAGGTTTCTTCTGTGGAACTTGTTCCGGGGGTGTATGTGCCGACATCATGCCTACCCCACCAACAAAGGGACCTTTGACCAGAGAGGAACTTCTGGGGACTCATGTCCCAACTCCCGTGTCTGAAGTGCTTTCTCTCTGCCTTGGAGGCACCGGGGAGCAGGAGACTGCTGCCCCAGAGATCACCACATGTGCCTTTCCTGGGACCAAACTTGGCTGCTTCAGCAAGCAAACACCAATTCTTCCTCCCGTTGGACTGAAGTACTTCGGCAAGGTTCTGGGGCAGGAAGAGAGCATGAAGTACAAGGAAAACTTGAATTCCAGATTTTTAATGCAAAATATTTATCGTTTGTACCAGAAATAAAAGTTTTTAAAAAGTTTTCACTCACCTAATGGCGCGCGGCCTAGGCGTTCTGAGAGAACTTTTGCCCAATGCTGCCACCTAGTGTCAGAAATGCGCCTCTGCCCAATGAGTGCCGGTCTGGGCAAAGCAACTTCTAAAGCTCCTGCTATGTTGTCTGGGAGCGGTTCTGTGCTTAAGGTGATGAAACAAGGGGACCGGGAAGACGCAGTAGTTAAGAGCACTTGCTGCTCTTCCAGAGGACCCAAGTTCAGTTCCTAGCACCCACATCGAGGGTGGGGAGGCTCACAGACACCTGTAACTTCAGCATAATGGGGCTCTGTCACTCCTTTATGGTCTCCAAGCACTCACACTTAAACATAAAAGGGCTAGAGCAATGGTTCTCAGCCTTCCTAATGTTGCACAGTTCCTCATGTTGTGGTGACCCCCCCATCACAAAATTATTTTCATTGCTCCTACTTGGCTGTAATTTTGCTACTCTTATGAATTGTAATATAAATAAATATCTGTGTTTTCCGATGGTCTTAGGTGACACCCCCCACCCCACAGACCCACGTGTTGAGAACCGCTGGGCTACAGGATGGCTCAGTGATGAAGAGCACTGGCTGCTGGTCCAGAGGACCCATGTGCCATTCTCAGGACCCACATGGCAAGTTGATTGCCCCCTTCTGGTCTCTAAGGATACTGCATGCATTTGATACTCAGACATACCTGCAGGCAAAACACCAATGCAAATAAAAATAAGATTAAGATATATATTATATATACATATGTATTATATGTGTATAATTTATGATGAGATAAGGGCTAAAGGTGTAGCTCAGTTACAGACCTTTCCTCAGCATGGACAAAACCCTGGGCTCAATGTCCTGTATAACATAAAAAACAAAACAAAAAAACAGTGAGTAATGGCCAAAGCAAAGGCAGAAACGCAGGGCTGATATTAGAACCAGACATCCAGCATCCACATCTGGGCCCTCGCCAAAAATGGTGTTCACCTGTAGTGCCAGCACGGTGGACGCAGAGGGTCTTTGCAAATTAAAGTCCAGCCTGTGCTGCATAGCGAATTGCAGGCCAGAGGCTGCTGTGCTAACTGAAGAATCTTGAGGTGGGTGTGAGCCGAGGCTCCAGGACAGTGACAGTTTGGCAAGGTGAAGGCAGCAGGGGTTTGTGGGTAACAAAGTCTCTGGTTCCACAAAGGACCCAGCTCCTCAGGAGAGGAGTCAGATGCAAACCCTCCTTCAGAGGCCTTGGGGAAGGAAGCAGGGGGCAAGCAGTCCCATCTATCCAGTGCCTCCAGAACATGCTTGCTGGCCAGAGCGTCTGCTGAGAGCCAGGTCAAGTGCAGCGTCTGTGGGAGACAGCCTTCTCAGGTAACAGCCTTCATTCTAAGCCCATCGTTAAGGGCCCTCTGCAACCTTGCCAGTAGACAAGGAATGAGGCACATTGCCCTTTTCTCTTTCTCCGTCTTGCCTAATGGAACTCAGTCGTGGTCCCCAGTCTCTGCTCTGGGTGGAGGAAGGGCTTCTTGAAGGTTTACCCTTCCCTGGTGGACTCCCTTACTTCTTTCACTCTTCCTGCAGACTTCCAAATGTTCAGGAGTAGCACATTTAAACAATGAATGCCTTGCCAAATATGGTGACCCAGCACCAAGGATACTGCAAGTTTGAGGCCAGCCTGGGCTACATAGCAAGCTCTGTTCTGGGCTAGGGCTACGGAATGAGACCTTGTCTCAAAAACAAACAAGGCTTCAAACCAGGTGTGATGCCTTATGCCTATAATCTTAGCATTTAGGAGGCCATTAGGAGTTTGAGGCCAGGGCTGGAGAGATGGCTCAGTGGTTAAGAGCATTGCTTGCTTTTCCAAAGGTCCTGAGTTCAATTCCCGGCAACCACATGGTGGCTCACAACCATCTGTAATAAGGTTTGGTGCCCTCTTCTGGCCGTCAGGCATACAGATAGAATATTGTATACATAATAAATAAATATTTTTTTTTAAAAAAAAGAGTTTGAGGCCAGCCTGAGCTGCAAAACAAGTTCAAGGCCAGCCAATGTGTATTACTTGAGGTGGCTCAGCAGTGAAAAGCACTTCTGCTCTCCCAGAGGGCTAGAGTTCGATTCTCAGCACCCGTGTAGGGAGGCTCACAACTCCAGCTCCAGAGGATCCAGTGTCCTCTTCTGGCCTCCGAGGACTCAGACCCACAGCACACAAAGACATAATAGAAATAAAAATAAAAATCAATCTTTAAAAAACAGCAAGCTGCCAGGGAGTGGTGGTGTAGGCCTTTTAGTCCCAGCACTCAGAGGCAGGTGAATCTCTGAGTTCAAGGCCAGCCTGCTCTCCAGAGTGAGTTCCAGAGTAGCCAGGACTATTGGACAAAAAAAAAAAAAAAATCCCTGTCTTAAAAAAACAAATACAAACAAACAAAAACCATAACAACCAGTGCTATGTAGAGAAACCCTATCTTGAAAAACCAAAAAATAAAACAAAACCCACAACCCAACAAACAAAACAAAAAAGACATCAAGAATGTTTTAAACTAAGGTTTTAAGAGAGACATAGTGACACATGTCTATAATCCCAGTACTTGGGAGGCAGAATGTTCTGATTAGGTGTGGTAGCACACACCTATGATCTCAGCACTCAGGAGTTATGCCAGGAGGATTGCGGGGAGCTCAAGTCAGCCTAGGCTGCAAATCAAATACCAGGCCAGCCACAGCAAGACTGTCTGAAAAATAAACAATAGGTAAAATGAATGTCAAGACCTAGAGTGTTTTTCTCAACTTCCTGTCTGGGGACCTCTGAGCTTGCCTATCCCCTGCATTGATGGACCTCTGAACACTTTCTCTCTGGGCATCTTTGACTAGGGCCCCTTGCTGGGCATCAGGGATGGGGGTGAAAATGTAAGTTTGCCTGAGTCTTTGGGGTTGGTCTTACATTCAGTAAACTAGAACCAGTTACTGTGATATCCCAGGGTCCGAGTAACAGATGTCCTCCCAACCTCATCCCCACCCCTGTCTTGGCATCCCAGATGCCACCACAGTAGTTAGTGCTTTGTCTGGACAAATGGTTCCAAGTCATCACCATTACTGGGCTGTTTAGAGCTATGGGTGGTCAGCCACGGGAGGCACAGGGAGAAAAGGCTTTGCTTACTGTCTGTCTTAGTCACTGTTCTATTGCTGTGAAGAGACACCATGACCAGGGCAGCACTTAGAAAACATTTAACTGGGACTTGCTACAGTTTTAGAAACTTAGTCCATGATCACCATGGAAGGAAGCAGACAGGCTTGGTGGAGTAGGAGCTGAAGGCTTTACATCATGATCCACGGTCAGCAGGAAGAGAGAGAGACATTGGGCCTGGAGTGAGGTTTTGAAACCTCAGATCCCACCCCCATTGACACATCTCCTCCAACAAAGCCACACCTCCTAGTCCCGCCCAACAGTCAACCAAATGGGAACCAAGAATCAAATATGTGAGCCTCTGGGGTGTCGTTTTCATCCAAACCATCATGCTGCCCTGGGACGTTCTGTGACAGCCCCTGGAAGAGGTGATTTCATCCACAGCCATTCCTCTGTGACACTTCAGTGTTTACAAAGAACCTTTCTAGCAAGGTGTGGGGACTCAGGCCTGTGGTCACAGCACTCGGAGACCTGAGTCTCAAGAACTGAGAGCTTGAGGCTAGCCTGGGCTACATAGCAAGATGTTGTTTGATAAAACGAAGCAACAGAAGTGTCTGTATCAGCTATTCCACTGGATGCTTGTAGGGTCAGGGAGCATTTTATAGAGGAGTAACTCACATATAGAATGGAGTGGCTTGCCCAAGGTCAGTGACCAGCCAGCACAAAGCTGAGTCAGGCATGGCGTCACACCTGTAATCCTAGCCCTTGGAAAGTGGAGGCAGGGGGATGGGATGCTCAACACTAACTTTTTGTCAACAAAACAAGAAAGAAACAACACAAAAAGAACCAGAATGTGGTGTAGGAGGGTCCTTCTGTCTTTGTGTTGCTCTCATTGGTTAATAAAGAAACTGCTTTGGGCCTGTTGATAGAGCAGAATTTAGGTAGGCAGGGAAGACAGAACTGAATGCTGGGAGAAGGAAAGAGTCAGAGAGAGACACCATGGATCTGCAGGAGACAAGATGCTGGGAATTTTACCCAGTAAGCCACTGCCACGTGGCAATACACAGATTAATAGAAATGGGTTAAATTAAGATGTTAGAATTAGCCAATAAGAAACTAGAGCTAAAGGGCGAAGCGGTGATTTAATTAATACAGTTTCTGTGTGATTATTTCGGGGCTAAGCTAGCCAGGCAGCCTGGATGAACAAGCAGGCCCTCCTTGCAACAAGAATGGGTATGGTGGTTTGAATGGGAATGGCCCCCACAGGTACATATATTTGAATGCTTGGTCAAGGAGTGGTATTACTTGAGAGGGATTAGGAGGTGTGGCCTTGCCATAGCAGATGCAGCTTGTTGGAAGAAGTGTGTAACTGGGGGTGGGCTTTGGGGTTTCAAAAGCCCAAGCCAGTCTTGGTTTCTCTCACTTCCTGCTGCCTGTGGATCCGGATATAGAACTCTCAGCTACTTCTCCACTAGGTCTATCTGCATAGACACATGCCTACCATGATGACAGTGGGCTAAACCTTTGAAACTGTAAGTCAACCTCAATTAAGTGGTTTTTTTTTAATAAGAGTTGCCATGGTCACGGTGTCTCTTCACAGCAATAGAATGCTGTCTAAGACAACAAGGTTTATCTGACTGACCAACTAGAGCCTTCAAGAACATAGCTCCTGGGGCTGGAGAAATGTGGCTCAGTGGTTAAGAGCACTGGCTGCTCTTCCAGAGGAGCGGGGTTCAACTCCCAGCATCCACATGGCAGCTCACAACTGTCTGTAACGTAAGTTCTAGTAGATCTGACTCCCTCACACAGACATACATGCAGGGCAAATACTAACACACATTAAAAATTAAAAATGAATTAAAAAAGTAAAATTACTTTAAAAAATGAACTTGGTTCAC